CATTTGAAAGCTTCTCCTGAACAGTTCTCGTAATGCAAACCATCGTGAAGCAGTCCAAGAGTTTGTGCGGCTTTCAAGAATGTATCATGGGTATAGCCATAAATTGTGCGCAGATGTTCATAAGTTCTTTGAAGCGAGAAGCCGCAGACCAAATCGCTCAGGTTCTTTTGGCGAAGTAATATAAATACGTCCGAATTGGCGAACTCTGCTACGTCTATTTCATTTTCAGGTTTCCTTGACAAAGGCGAAATGCGCGGGCAACTCATAGTGATAGAGACCTCAGGGATCAACAGCTTCTGGAAGGAGAAGATTTTCTTCTTCCATATGGTCGAATTCAGCATCTAGCATGAACTATGCCTTAAGAATCGTATCCTTATTTTCCTCTCTTATTACAGCTCTCTTTCTTGTCCGGCTTAAAGGTTACAGACTACATCCTGGGAGATAAATTATGGGGAATTCACCGATACACCGTTTCAGATTTAAATTGACAATCTTATGCGAATATGTGATGTAACGCTTCCGAAGAACAGACATACCGCGCGTCAAGGTGAGCTTTGAACTCATCCATCTTTTCAGCCTCGTACTGAAAAAATTTCAAAGACGCCCGGAGTAGGCCTTTGTATACGTATTTGAAAAGGTAATTTACCGCCTGCACGTAGCCACAAATCTCAATTACATGTACATTAAGGAGCACATAAAATATCGGTTGTAAGGAACTGCATGTCTGTTGTCGAATGTTTCTCCCTTTATTCTCACAGAGATTTCATTGCAAGGTCTTTTATAGTTTAGATAACCATTAACGTCAACATCGTTTAACTCGCGAAAATCTTTTGGATAGCCTTTAGAACATTTTCCATTGAGCATACATGGAGCTGTTCGGCTATTTAGTCCGCAACGACGATGCAACATGTTTCTGCATGATGCGGAATAGGCGAGGAGGTTTATTTCTTCCGCATTTCGTGGTTTCGCTTCCTCCGTCATTTTTAAAAGCAGGTGACGGTGTGGGAGACCTCGTTTCTGTCACTCCACAAGGCTTACGTATCCTCTCTACACCGAAGGTTACATGTGAAGGTTTGAAAATAGTCAGGCTTCTCGTGCCTTGCTACTGTAGACACCGCATCTTGGTAGGAGTAATGCATTGCTCGCGTATTTCCTTGGGAAGATGTTGGTAAGATGATGCGTTGCCCAGGAGGTCCATCGGCGTCATCGTTTGCAAGATGGTCTGTCATCCGTAATAATTGTTTACGCGTATTCAGTGTGTACACGTGCAGTTCAAAGTATTCTGCTTTATTTTGACGTAAGCATATGAATTACTTATAAGCTTGCCCGCATATTGCATTGGATTGAATGAGTCCCATACCGGAGGAATGTATAAAACTCAAGAATTGGGGTGGATAAGTAAGGGGATCACATCGAGCATCGATATCCGAGATATATTGCAAACTCCCTGTTCTATGGTAAATGGCTAGTGAACGCATCAGGGGGATGTCATTATCCTCGCCCACGAAGACGACGGGCACCTTGTTAGCAATGGGTGCATTATATCTACGTCCATATTTTTTGTGTTATCGAAAATCATTCTAATAGCTAGCGTTGACCTTTCTGACGCTTCCGTCAGCCGTTCTTCCTTCACAACTACAGCTCACTATTGATGAAGCTGCATACTCATTATGCGTTTGCATCCATGCACCTAGATATTGCATCACGATCGGATCGCATTGTGCGTTCGCAGTTTCCGACTTTCTAAAACGCAGCATCTTAATCCACTATGTAAAGCCGGCCAT